GATTGTGCAAATTTAATTAATATTAATTTTATTTATTACATTCAATTTAAATTCAAAACAACTCCTTCCTTTCCTACTGTGTGACCAAAAAACTCACATAGCAATTACACAGTGACACTCAAGAAAAACATCTATAATATTTACTTTAAGTTTAAAGAATTTAACTGACAACAGTGACGGGACATTTTGAGAGTCGATGTAATCGGCTGAGCGGACTGATCCCATCTACCTGCATGTCGTGATATAAATCCCTGAAAGCATAAAAACAAACCATAAACTGATGATGAAAGCTAAAACACCTCGATGACATAATAAATACACAAAAATCAGTAAAAAGAATTATTAAAATCTGGCAGCAAGTGTGCCAGAAAAAATATGGTTAAAAAACAAACAAAAAAAAACCCAACAAACAGCAGAATACTTTAATGTTCAAAAACTGTAGTGATGGTGAAAACGATGATAGATATCTGGTTTTTTTTAAATAAAAAAAAAAGAAAAGCTATTTCTAGCTGCTATAAATACAGTAAAACAGTGTAAAAGAATATTTTGCTATTTATAAAAATGCAGGTTTTGAAAAGCATGTAAATTAGTACTAATTTGCGATTTTAGTGGCTATTTTTTGTAATTTAACAAAACAGGGAAAACTGTTAAGTAACAGTTTTAATCCTCAATATACATACTTTTTCTGCCAAGTAGCAGCAAATATTTGTAAAATAATGATTCATTTTCTTATCTAAATACAGCAAAGCAATTTTGTAATTTTATATGTTGTTTACGTTGTGAAATAATTGAATAGCAATTTATAAAAATAAAGATTTTTGATTTTAATATTATTTATTCAAGTCACATATATTTATTTATGCGCAGTTTATTAATTTATTTTACAGAGCAGTTCCGGAAGATATATTCCATTATTTTGAAAAACGTAGAGGAAGTCGTGTGTTTTACCGTCATCGGACGCTTTACAAGCTGTGCCGACTCTCCAGCAGCATGGATGTCATGGAGAAGTGGCCAGAAATAGAGAAAGCAGCCGCGGAGAAGAGGCGTGAGCTGGTCCTCCAGGGCCCTGCTGTCGACAAGAAGGTGTCCTCCTGCGGGGGCCTCCCCTCCTCCATCTACTCCCTCACTCTGCTCAACTATCTGGAGGTCAGCCAGTGCCCGAGCCTAACGGAGATCCACGAGGACATCCAGCATCTGACCAACTTGCAGAGCCTCATCCTGTGCAGGAACAAGCTCGCCTCCGTTCCGGATGTCATCGGCAGTCTCAAGTCCCTGAAGGTCCTGGACGTTTCAGGGAACAACATCACGGCCTTACCGGAGGGAGTGACCCAGCTGAGGGAGCTCAACACTCTGAATGTGAGCTGTAACCGGCTGGAGGTCCTGCCGGAGGGGCTGAGCCGGTGCACCAAGCTCTCCTCCATCAACATCTCCAAGAACCTCATCCGCCGGTTCCCCGCTGACCTGTACTCGGAGCGCCTGGACCTGCTCAGCGCTCTAGTGGCCTCCGACAACTGCGTGGAGGAGCTGAGCGGAGACATCCACAGGCTGCCGGCTCTGAAGGTGAGTCCTACCTGGTTCCACACGACTGGTTCTGTGCCAACGACAGTACGGGAGCCGGACTGGGTTCTTGTGTACATGGTATCTTGAACTGACGGGGGACCATGTTAACACACACACACACACACACACAAATAACTTTGAGAAGAAGTTCTTCTGGGGCATCAAACAGACGCCGAATTTAAGAGGAGCTGTCAGTGTTTCTGGTGCATTTCTGAAATTATGACAGATCAGGTTCTGTGTGTGCTGGTGTGTAATGCAGCGTTAAATTGTCAGAATTCTGAATCTAGTTTGGGGCTGACCTACACAGACAGGGAATAGTCATTTCAATATTAAGGATTAAAATCCCATAAAAATAAAATACTGTATTACTGATAACGTTGCCAGACTATAATGAATAATAAAGGTAAAACCTCAGAGTATTGTTGAATATGGAGTATAACCTAACTCATTTAGATATAATGCCAAGGCCCTACAGTATCATTGGTTATAAAGATTAGCCCCTACAAAGATGTGTATGGACCCCAACACATCCAAGGATATTCCAGGTCTCCTATGGCCAGGCTTAGGCTTTTAAAATATGCTGTTATTTCATTACATTGCACTAAAACTTTGGATGCACTTTTCTAGTGAGCATCAAACTCAACACCTGGTTTCGTCTCCCTCACACCACAGGTGCTGGATCTCTCTAACAACAAGCTGAGCGAGATCCCCTCCGGTCTGAGCGACTGCCCCAAGCTGAAGGAGATCAACTTCAAAGGCAACAAGCTGAACGACAAGCGCCTGGAGAAGATGGTGAACGGCTGCCAGACCAAGTCCATCCTGGACTACCTGAGAGGAAAAGGAAGGGGAAGGCAGGGAGAGGACGGAGGCGATGCCGACGGAGGACGCAACGCAGACAAGAAGAAGAGGCAGCAGCAGAGAAAGAAGAAGGAGAAGGTGACGGAGGAACCGGATGAGGTGGAAGAGCTGAACAAGATGGTGGTGAGGGTTCTCCACGTTTCAGATGCTCCCACAGCGCTGACGGTCACGGTGAGCGCAGAGGTGAAGGATGTTCGGCCGTACCTGGTGTGCTGCATCGTGGGAGGTATGAACCTGAAGCCTGGCAATGCCCTCAAACGCTTTCTGATGGCTCAGGTAAGATCCAGACCTCCACAGTGGTGGTGATGGTGTGTGATGAAAGTGCAGCGTGGTCACCGGAATGGCTCTGTTTCTCCAGACAAAGCTTCACGAGGACTTATGTGGTAAAAGAACCATCGCAACCATCGCCACCCATGATGTGCAGCTTCTCAAAGGTCCCCTCACGTACGATGTGAAACCGCCCACCCAGCTGAAGGTACGCTGTGGCTGAATAACAATCAAAGCAATCAAAGTCTCGTTTGTGTCAGTTTCTGTGTGCAGCCTTCTGTTTGTCACTGCTCTCAAAAAGACGTCGCAGTTTGAAACGTGAACATCTCGTCTGTTGTTAGATTGTGTCACTGGGGCGAAAGGAGATGACGGCCGTCGAGCTGATAAGACACCTTCACCTGGAGGCCGAGGAGCTGAGGAAGCAGAAGAAGAGGCAGAACGTCACTGGCCTCCACAAGTCAGCATAAGACTTCTCACACAGCACGAGCTTCGTTAGTGCAGGGACAGATAATTATAGGATGGAGGGTCAGTTACTGTACGATAAGAATCAGGGGATTCTGAGGGGATCAGGTGGAAGGCACTGATTTATTTTTTAAGTCAAGGGAAATTAAAAATGGAATTTCAAAATAAAAGACAATTAATAAAAAAGAGACCAGAAACGCTTTAGGTTTTAGTGGTACAAGACATCTGGCCTACTGGCTTGTTGGTTCTGTCTGAACACATGAGGGCAGGATCTGTCAGACCACAACTGTAATCTGATTATTTCAGCCAATAGGGGAGAGGACTTGTTAGCACACAAGCTTTTATTGTGTCTACTGGCAGAACCACCAGGTCCAGACATCAACTGTGTCACTATCGAGGTATTTAAATCACGGCGAGTAACATGACGGACTTATGAAACCATCTTTAATGACAGCTTTACCAACGCGTTTTCAGATTTTGGAATTTGCCACATGTCTCCCAGTGTTTGTTTTCAATGTAGTCTGAAAATCGAGGCACATAACTTGAAAAAAAGGTTCTGAGATGTTCTAACTCGAGTAGACGGGCTGTTCCTTTAAAGCCAAACTTACAAATAAATAACAATGTCTGCAAAGATTTAACATTTTTCAGCCTATCAAGACATTATGCCAGCCTAATTTCAATCTTGTCTTCAAACACTGACTTCCAGGTTGAGAGCATGACGTGATCTCCGTCCCGTCCTGTGTGACGGCTGGCGGTCCAGAGCTGTGTCTTACCAGATCTACTCTGTTGAGACGTTTCTATCGTTATATGTTGTCAGACAGTGAACCAGTGCGTTTTTCTGCAGATACCTGCAGCTCCTGCAAGGAAAGTCTCTCTATCCCTGCCTCGTGGACGCAGAAGGACATGTCATCTCTTTCCCGCCAATCACCAACAGTGAGAAGACCAAGGTGTGGAGATGCATTTTGTTCCTGAATCTCGTATTAAATGGAGCCACAGAGTCTGAATACAGTGGAGCTGATGTGCATCAATAACAACAGGAGTTCTGACATACATGCCAGCTTATTGTGTGCTGTTGTTTCCTGCTGCTGTCTGTTTATGTCTGTTCATGACGCAGTATAATTCGTTTCTTTCTGTCCAGATTAAGAAGACGACCAAAGAGCTGTTCTTGGAGGTGACGAGTGCAACCAGCCTGCAGACCTGTAAAGATGTGATGGATGCTCTGATTGTAGTAAGCTGCCATTTTTCTCTTTAAAAGCCTCGGTGATTCTGCGAGCCTTCTCTACTCAGGCGGGTTGTTCCAGAGCTGAGGGGCCTTGAATCATCTGGAGAGATCAGCCTGGAAGCTCTAAGGCTGGATTCTGTTGTGCAGCTTGTGGCCAGACCTCTGTGTGTTTTACCAGTGATCAGTGAAAGCTTAACATCAATTCTAAAACAAACTGGGAGCCAAAGGAGAGAAGCCCGGACCGGGTCATGTGATGAAAAGGCCACCTGCTGCATTCTGAGCTTGTTAGCTCGTTCATTTAACATGGCGGTGGATCGGTTTCGTTCACCGGTATGAAAGCAGCTGAATCAATTTTGCGACCGTCTTTTGAATTCCACGCAGTGTGGGTAAATATATTTTATTCCACAGACGTGTTTTCAGGCTTTTCCCGCCTGGCAGGGATGTTGCTCTTGGGAAGAGGTTTTGGACAGAACGCAGGGATTTGGGGAAATGAAGAAAACGAGGCCGCCCACAGTGTTGCACCTTGTTGGCCCGATACAAAGCTACTCCTAGTTTCACAATCACACCATAGTTTCACCACTGGGACAGTTTGATGGTGTAAAACTGCTCCGCATTGTTCCAGTCGGTACTGTTCACTCTAGCAGGAACTGAAGGGTCGGTCCAGCTCCTTTCAGACGGCGGTTGTTCATGCATGTGAACGTTTGGTGAAGCAATGAAGACAACATGGAGGCAGCTTGGACCTTTGCACATACAGGGACAACATGTAGACCTCTACGCACACGTGGTCCTACCAGTGAGTCCACGTCAGCGTTTTGACGTTAAAATAGCCAAAACTCTGGAACCATGGCAATACACACCATACGTCAGATTTTACTGTCAGAGGCATTTAGTGTGTGTGTGTGTGTTCCATCGTCCTCCCAGCAGATATCTCCTATTTTGGCATATTTGTTCCACCTAAATGTTTAATATAAGATAAGCCAAGAAAACACAAAATGCAGTTTTTAAATAATGATGTCGTTTGTTGAAGCCCACCAACGTTTCTCCATCGGGGAGGTCCCACAAGAACCCAGACGAGCATCAACAGAACTGCCGGCTTCACTCGCCTCACTGAAGGTCAATGTGCATGATTCTACAATAAGGAGGACTCTGGGCGAAGCAAGTCCACCTGTTACAGGTTCAAGAAGAACAAAATAAAAGTTCTGGAGTGGCCAAGACAAAGTCTGGGCTTCAATCCAATTGAGATGCTGTGGCATGACCTTAAAAAGGAAGTTCATGCTGGAAAACCATCTAATGTGACTGAATTAAAACTATCTGCAGAGGAGAGTGGAGCAGAAGTCCTCCATGGTGATGTAGAAGTCTGATCACAACATTTAACTGCTGGTCTGTGTCCAGATAAGGTGTTTTTAGGGCTCAAAATACAAAAATCCCAGGTCTGGAAACCTCCCTGCCTTCATTAGACCTTCAGTATTGAAGCTGTACCTCTACCTGGGAGAGATTTGTGAATGTATGAAGGAGCGATGGAGACAATCAGTGATGCTGAGTACTAACTTTATTTATGTCCACGCTAGATTTGGTGTCACAGTGTCTATGTTCCAGCTTTGTCGTATTACAGTGTTACACACGGGGATTTAACAAGCGAATCCTGTTTCCTCAGAAAATGGCCGAGCTGAACAAGTTCACCGCAGAGCATCAGGAGGAGGTGGGCTCGGACGGCGAAGGTGACGGCCCACCAGAACCCACCGTCAGTGACGAGACCTCCAGCCAGCTGGTCGTCCAGCAGGTCCGAACAGTCGACCAGGATGGCAACCTGAAGGTCGTGTACCCGTCGAAGACAGACCTCTCCAAGGACGTCAGCAACTTGACGGTGGTTTGGTAGTTTGGATTCAGTCAGATGTTTACACCCATTCACATCCTACATGAAGTCGTTTTAACAAACTGGGGACGTTTTTACTAAGTCTTGATCACATGTGTTTGCTTCAGACAGCTTCAGGGACAATTTTGCATCTAAACCAACATCCTGCAGCAGTTTGATTTTCACAGAATCTCACATTATTATGAGCTGTCTGGTTAGAAACGTTAACATTACTGATTAATGTGCAGCTTTTTGAACCACATGCAGACTAACAACTGTTTCCTGGGAGAACGCTACACGTCATTTACTGTCCAAATGTCCTTATTTTGTATTATTTGTAAACAGAAGACAACTGAAAAATGAATTAAACTGACACTGACTTGCTCTTAGACTGGTCCCCTGTTTTGTTTTTTGTTTTTTTAGCTTTTCGGCAGATTTTTTTTGGATATTTATCAACTCACAGCAGTAATTGCAGTGTTTAATCAACTTTACTTCTGATTTCATTCATTGTAAATAAAGGTGAGCTTCTGCATGTTTGGGGCAAAGCAGCTCAAACTATGTGGAAGGAAAGTGCATCGCTTTGTGTGCAGCAGAGGGTTTTGATAGGCAGCAGGGTGCAGAGCTCCGTTTAAAGCATAACTGGACCGAAAACTGCTGAATAACTGGTCATTTTTGCATTCTGTCTGAACCCCTGAGCAGTGTCAGTGTCCAGTCATCGTGGGGTCAGATGTGGTAGTTCTTTACATACTGTAGAAGGAAAACTTTAACAACCTCTATGAGTCTAAATATTTAAGGATAGAAGTATTTTTATGGACCTGGAACAAGCCTCTGTGTGGGTTTTACACTTTTCTAGCCAATGAACAAAATCACAACGGGCCACATTCATTAAACGTCATTCAGTGCATGTTTGGGACGTCCTCCTTCTGCGCTGGTTTAAGGAGACTCCAGAGGAACTGCAAAACAGAAAATATTCAACTCAGGCAGGTGTTATTTTGCAGCAGAGGTGTGCCAGCGACATCGTGTGGACATGCTTCCTGCCGTTTTCTCTCCACCTCACACAGATCTTTGTGTGCCTGGGTTACAGATGAGCTTTGTCTAAGTGAGCTTCCCAACAGGCCGTTCAGATACTCACATTCACATACGTACGCCACCTCCAGGTACTTGTACGTGCCACCGCAGGGGTCTCCGAACACCGAGTTGCTAGCGCTGACAGTACAGTTGTTTTTCCCGTTACAGCTGTGGATGCAGGGTGGCAGGAGTGAACAAAGCTTCAACGTGCACTGGAGCTTATTGAACATGGGATTTAAAGTGGACTGCATTTAGCATTTTTTTTCAACACTTGAACATCACGTGTGACTTGAATTTGGCCTTATCTGCCTGTGCCAGGAGGAAACAGCCGCTGACTTACAGGTTAGTTACTGTAGTGTTGCTGTTGAGGCTCAAACAGTCCACGTTTAAAAGCTGACGGGGTGGCCGTCCGAAGGAGCAGGTGGTCTGGTCATGGCGTCCGTAGAAGGCACCAAAGACAGATATAACCTGGCCCTCACCTGACCAGAGGACATTAAAAAGTAGTTGTGATTTATTGATTAACAATGAAATTACACTGTTGTCTGTCAGCTTGATGCAAAACGGGAATCTTACCACAAAACAAACGCCTGAAAGAGCCCTCGCATGCAATGGCCCGAACTGTCAAGAAAAGCATGAATCACATTAGACATCTCTCAGTCAGGCTTACTGGCAGCTTCGCAGAACTATTGGTTTAGTGAAGATGCGACTGACATGCTGGGACGCAGGTGTAGTTGGTCTCCAGGTATTTGATGGTGCCTCGGCAGGGATCAGGAGAACGAACCACGTTGGTGTTTAACTCACACACCTTCTTGCCGTTGCACCTGTAGGAATGACAGACAAGCTTTTACTGTGCACAAAGCACAAACTGTTTGCATTGCTGCAGCTGTTGGGCCTTCAATTCTCTTTTCACAACACACTGCAGCCGCAAACTGCTCGCACTGTGAACCACTACTGATAAACTATGAGTCACCTAAATATGAGCTGGCGCTGTACTGGGTGTTACAGAAGATTACGCTGCAGTCTTTATGTAAAACAGAGTCTGTGTGTTGGTTTTAAGGGGAGAGGAGAGGTGAACTGAGGTGACTGTCAACTTCATCAGTTGTGTGAAGAACTTTTGTTGATTCCCACGAGTGCAGGTTTCCTGAATAGCTCAGAAAAGTGCTGTTGTGAAGGCGATGCCTTTTTCATTGACACTAGAAGACTCAACGACAGCAGCGTGTTTATGACAGTAAATGTGACGTGTACCTCCTCCTGACGACATCCACGGTGCCCCCTTGAGAGCAGCGTGTATTGGCGACCTGGAATGGCCTCGTTCCTGCACTGCAGGTGTTGCGGTCTGCACGTCCATACAGGGCTGCCTCCACACGGATCACCCCCTTATCTGCAACACACAGAGAAAGAATGAGGAAGAAGAGGGAGAGTGTCACTTTGCATTTGTTTGTTTTGCAGTAATACTCAGTGTTGTCATATCTGAGCCTAAAACTTTGTAAAAATGCTCAGTTGAAAGTGTACAAGGGCTTTTGGTTAAAACCATTTTTCCTGAGAGCTCCATATCAGCTTTGTGTTGGGTTTTCAGAATCAGAATCAGATTTATTGCCAGATGTAGTTTACACAACACGAGGAATTAGTTCTGGTGGGTCGATGCAACAATAAATATAGAGTAAGGTACAAGATAAAAATATAAAAATAGCTAAAAAATAAAACTAACTCTAGCAGTGCAAAGCAGAAGCAAAAATATTGTGGAGTGAAGAATTACAGGTAAATTTAAATAAGAAAAAATACTGTAGGATTATTTACATAAATATTGAGGCTGCAGATATATTGATATTCACATTTATACAGATTTCTTACGTTTTATAAACTTAGAGGTGTAAAACAAAAGCTGTGAAAATTCAAAGGGCCTTCCTGTAGCCTCACAGCCTGTAAAGTTCAAACTTTAAAACCTTAAACCACATGTCAGGTTCCTGTTCATCACAGGATCCACTTCAGAAAATGGATATTAAGCTACAAAAAAAACAAACTGTACTGATGGTAATTATTACAACCTGTCCAGACAAAACTAACTTGCTGATATTTAACATCCAAAACGTCTTAAAGCCTTTAAATCTAAACACAGTGTTTGCTGTGGAACCAGAGTTAGAAATGTCCGTCCTACCACAGCCCAGGTGCTGGACGTTGCCGATGAAGTCACAGGTGACAGCCTTCTCTATGGAACCAACTAAAACAGAAGTCAAAGTCTGTTTTCACTGCATGCTGAACATAAATGGCAGCATTCTCATTTTTGTTTTCACACAGATATTTACCTGATGTTGTGAGCAAACAAGCTGCTGCAAGCACTGGAAGACAAACGTCACAGTCGAATGAATGCAAGACGTGGTTTTATGGTCCGACTTTTACATTTAATAAAGCATCAATTATACTGTACTATCTATCTATAGCTAGGAAATTAAAAACTTAAATTTTAAACAAATCTAACTCTAGCACTTCCAAATTCTCTACAAACCCACGTAATTGTTTTTCTAGTAGTCAACCAGTCGTGTACTCACACAGGACGGCGCTGAGTGTGAAGCTGAGCATGGTTTCAGGAGATCCAGCGGGACTGACGGCGGAGACGGACACTCTTCTATATATACTGATGGGCTGAGGACTGAACAATAGCTTCACCTGATGCAACTGGCTCCTGTTCAGCTGTAAAAAATGTGACCACACAACTAGAAGGCATCATTACCAGAATGTAATGATGCTGAAAGACGACAAGGAAAAAGATGTGCCCACTCACATTACAAAAATAACTTCAGGTCAGAAAAGGAACCGTGTTGGACACTTACAATGAGGTGACAGACAGAATTACAAAAGATTACAGGATTACCTTTCAGTCACATCCTTGTTCGAGTCGGACAAACACGCCTGTTTATGTTTCTTGGAAATCACCTGTTCTCTCTATCATATTTTCACATTTCTTTTCCTGAAGGAGAGTTTCCTGTCTGTACAGACTGCAGGATTGTGTCATGACGGGTGAATCCCAGTGTCTCAGGCCATGTGTTTGTGTTGTTTCCTAGCGTATGTGTGCAGCCTCCTCACAGCGCTGTGATCTGGAATTAATCAGCGGCTCTAATAAACAGCAGGTGCTCCAGCTGCAGGTATTAGTGCTCTGAGTGAGTTATTGCACAGGTACTTTTTCTGACAACTTCCTGGAACCCTCTGAAGGACCTATTGTTAATTTTTTGTGCCTGGACTTCCTTGACGACAAAATATTACTTGACATTGTTAGTCACCAATGGAGACAGGTTCACCTGGACAGGTAACCAGTCTATCACAGGGCTACACTTAGAGACAGACAACCAAGCACACTCACATTCACACCTACGGACAATTTACAATCACCAATTAACCTCAGCATGTTTCTGGACTGTGGGAGGAAGCCGGAGAACCCGGAGAGAACCCACGCTGCACGGGGAGAACATGGAGACTCCACGCAGGAAGATCCCCGGTGTCCTCACCGGGACGCCAACCGGCGACCTTCTAGCTGTGAGGCGCTAACGGTGCTAACCACCGAGCCACCTTGCAGACCTAAAAAATCCACTAATTCCAAAAGGTAGCACTCAGGATTCGTCCAGAGATGTTTGATATGAATAGTTCCACTGTATAAACCTGGAATCTGTTGGATGTGTAGGAGAGCATAACTAGCAGGTCTTGTGTAAATGAAGTTAGCACCGCTGTGCATACGTGTGCACATCACTCTCAGTTCAAGGAAATGTTTGAGAAGGAGAGGATTGACACACATCCGGCTGTGGACGACGACAGGACATCAGCAGGTCTATTAATGTTTCAGCAAAATCCCAAATTACATTCAATGAAAGCAGAATGGCGTTAAAGTCGACATGAATCTGACACAGAGTCTGTCTGAGTGGCACTACGTCCCAGCTGACAGACCTGCCAACATGTCGTGTAGCAGATGTCTGTGGGTGGTGCAGCTGTCAGGACACATGATAGAGCTGATCGGCAGCTGGGTCGCCGGGGGGACAGCGTGGGACCCTCCATGGCCCCAGGAAGCATCCCCGAGGCTGTGCAGGGACATCATGACTCACTGCACCACAAGGAAGTGTGATAGATAAGCTACGATACATATCTGCTCAGTACTGAGGGGACAACCCGCCCTGATGCTGATTATTTTTAAGTTGTTTTAACAAGATGCATCATAGTCTTCTGACTCAGTTCTGAACTGGTGTTTTCTTCTCCTTTGAAAGCTTTAACCAAACATGACACTGCCAATGGAATCTAATGCCTCATCTCTGGCTGAAGCTGAGTGAGCAAACCTGTTCCCTTTACAGCGAGTGGTGACAAACGTGAGCTCAGGTAAGTGTAAGAAGGAACAAAAGTCATGGAAATAAACTACTGTGAACAATATGAGCTTAGATTCATCGGTGTTCAAGTTCAAACCGAGCGCCAGACTTTGGTTGTTGATGCCAGATGGGCTGCGCTTCTAGGCTTTACAGAGAACTGGAAAAAGAAAACATATCAGTGAAAATGCCTTGTTGATGCCAGAGGTTAGAGGAGAATGTGACCAGGCTGGTGTGAGATGATAGAAAACAAGCAGTGTCCTAAATAACTATTCATTACAACAAGATAAGTAGGTCACCTCTGAATGCACAACACATGGAACCCTGAAGCAGATGGGCTACAGCAGCAGAAGACCACACCGAGTGTCACTCTGTCAGCAGAGAGCAGGAAGCTAAAGGTCCCATTTCACATGGGCCCAACAGAATTGAACAATAAAAGTTTATAAAAACGTTGCCAGGTCTAAGTTTTGGTTTCTGCTGCGACATTCAGATGGTCAGATTTCTGCATAAACAACATGACAGCATGGATCCATTCTGCCTTGTATCAGCGGTTCAAGCCTATCCCAGCTGGCTTTGGGTGAAGGCAGGGTACACCTTGGACAGGTCCAAAACCAGCCCCCTAACATTATTTTGCAAGAATTCAATTCAATTCAATTCAATTCAATTCAATTTTATTTGTATAGCGCATATTTACAACAACAGTCATCTCATAGCGCTTAACAAAGGCAGAGACAGAAACACCCAATAATCCAAAACATCTGGATCCCCTATAAGCTTCAGCAGTCCGCAAGCAGTCCACAACAGTGGGAAGGAACCGAAAACCCCCACAGGTGAAAAAAAACCTCAGACAGAACCAGGCTCAGGGAGGGACGGCCATCTGCCTCCACCGGTTGGGTGGATGTAGGATGAATTATACAATTTAGTTTACAGTAAAACAAGTTATTAGATTTTATTGTCCTTTTATTGTCCTTCATTTACACAAGAACTTGGTCAGTGTACCTTTGGTTAGTTCCACTCGAGGTGGAACTAAACATAGTGGCACCATGACTCATCCTCACTGTAGGAACTGACAAAGTATTGTTGTTCACGTCTCATTTTATAACCACGTTGAGGCTCACTGGAAGTCACAGGTGAACTCAGGTTTGTGTCAGTGATCACGCATGTATTCAGAAGAATAATCAGGGAAGCAAGATACACTCAAACAAAAGCAGTAACTGGACATTTCAGTTACACATCCTTTAATTGGAATGGAGTGCTGAACTCTACTGTGGAAACACTCATAAAGCTGCAGTGTGCTCTGAAGGTTAATCCAGGAGTAAAACATGAGAAGGCCACTCAAACAAGTTCAGAGCCCAGTAGAGTAGCTATATGGATGAGTTTACCCGGTACTGCTGTTTAAATAAAACATCTCCACTGCTTTTGACTAGTTAGACTTAATAAAGTCCAAGAAACCAGACTATAAAGTACACAGTGACACGTCCTGGGCAGTGAGTTGGACATAATCCCTAGAAAGCTGAGATACACAGAGACCAGGCAGCAGCAAATAAACAGGGTCAGCCTGTCTGTGAGTGTCTTCACAAGTCAGTCACATACATGAAGCCCTGCTCCAACGTTCATGACAATCCACCAGATCAGCTGCTGAGATATCTGACCAGTTGGGTGACCGACAGACATCGTTCTTCACTGGCATGACGACAAATAAGCTCCAAAAATCTACTTCATTTAGAAGCTCTATGTTATTTTACATTTATTTCGTGGTTCAAGTTTCCATTCATCTACAGACCTGGTAACGTGCCAGCACTGGCTGAATCAGTGAAAGACTTATTAAGAGTGTAGCTGATGGAGGAATTAGTGAAGCATCTCACTTCCAAAGAGATGTTTCATGGAGCTACCAGGGAGCCACAATCGCTAAAGAATCATCTGAGTTTATATCCAGCGGTTTGTTTTAGTGAAGAATCTGAAGTTTAAGAAGCTAATGTTTGTATGTTGAGGTAGCGCTAAAAAAATGGAACCAATTCTAGTTCTATGGAGACCCCTGGTGGCAGTGGAGGGGATAAGACACCATCTCCTGCTGATTGATGTGCAGATGCTGGTGAAGCATATGATGGTTGAAGCTTAGACTCTGTACCAGACTCATACAGTCACTACAGGGAGCACACGGTGTGGACTACCTACTGCTGTATACAGTCCTGGGATTGTTTTTACTTTTGACACATGTGGACAAGCAAACACTTAATTAGTAACTAAATACATTTGATGTACTTGAACAGCACCACAAGGAAAACGGATTTTCAAAATGATTTATTGAACATAAATATCAATAGATGTGATATTCCTCTGCAGGAAAAGTAAGTCCCCTGAGAAGCCATTGTAGCCCCCTTAAAGCAGAAATACCTTCTTACAGGTGTTCAGCCTCTGACATGAACCTACTGACACTTTTGACCACTATTCCTGCAAAACGCATTCATTTGCAAGATGCTGAACTTCATAAGCCTCCATTTCTTCTCTGGATTTGCTGGTGTGGTGGGATCATTACACTGTTGAAGCTCCACTTCCAGTTTGTTTAGACTTTCTGACAGACGGCTTCACGTTCTCTTCAAGCTCTCCTTAATATGAGTGAAAGTCATGGATGAGTTAATCGCTGTCCGCTCCCAGAGGCAGGATCACGTTCTGGGGCGTGTAAAGCGTCTGCTCCTGGGCTGAATGAACTGGACCAGCCAGTCCTACACAAACTGAAAGGTGTTAGAAATGAATGCCATTTGAAGATGATGTTCCTCACAGTGCCATGATTTAGTTTGTTTTCTTTGCCAAAGACATGGGCATCCACAACCATTTTTCTAAGGGCCTTACAGAGCTCCTTAGAACCCACTGATTTGAATTTGATGGATTTGGAGGTACAATAAATGTGACTGATCTGCTCGTTTATTATAAAAACATAGATAAAAATTAAAATGTGTCATTTGTCTGAGTGTACATGTACCGCCTGTTGCTGTAGGCGCTGTTCCTAATGAAATAAACATTTGCTTATGTCAATAAGGTCAACGATTACCATTATTTGTTCACATGACAGTAAATGCACAACAGAGCAGTTGAAGAATATGAAATGTTCCTGCTGTCAGGAGAGGTTTACTCTTTCTCTCCTAAAACATATTTAAAGGAAGAAGTGGAAGGACGTCCAGGTCCTGTGGCTCATGTCTAGTCAGTAGAAGGCTTCTCTTTGCCTTTACGGCTGTTTTTTTACAATATACAATTTTAGACATGATCACTGTGGTAAACAAACCTGATATCAAAGTATACAGACTTTTTAAATTCAGTGCAGAGCACAGATTAAACATCACGGCCTCGTCTTAATCGTGTAAGTGCTCGTGCACAGCAGTAGAGTCTTTCTACAGCGTGTCCATAAAAAACCAACCTGAACAAAAGTTTCACAGTAAAGAAATATTTTGGTTCCAGAAGTCACCGATACCCCCAAAAAGATCATTTAGAAAAACACGATAGACATGATCAGTAAACACAATCACAGCTACAACACAGTCAGAATCGTACAGCTCTGTTCAGACGTAATGCCAACATATTAAAGTAATGCTTTCTGGCAACAAATCAGACCAGCAGTCCCTGAGAGTGGAACTTTTCCTCTATCTCTGGGTTTGAAAGTAGAGGAGTTTGCGGAGGAAGTTAAAGGAACCAGGCATTTGCTTGTAGAGCCCTTTTGCAGAGTTTTGAGAGACTTCGTGGTTCACCTGGAAATGAGCACAGTCAATATTCAGCTGCATCTCTGCGTCAGATAGAGCCTCACATACTTTTGCCAGTATAATAAAAGAAGCTCACCATCATCAGCATCGTCACCAGGTCATCGGTGTTGGCGTTTTCTTCCAGAATACGGTCCAGTGTCTCCACGTACCAGGAGCCCGCCTGGGTGTCTCTCCAGGAAACGTAACCTGTGTTCGTCACAAAGAGGCTTTAGGGACGCATACCCAGCAAGGCAAGTCTGTCAGAAGTTCTGACTTGGACCTGACAGACCGTGTTATTAATCACTATAAACAAATATGCGTGAATGCAACACGTGCATTCAGTCACACACACACACCAGGGAAGGTGGAGTAGGACACCAGGATGTCGCTCGGGGTGGGCAGAGTGGCTCGGGCGTCCACTTCATCAGACGTGCTCAGAGAGTCGCTGCTGGACGACGTCGGAATGGCGTCTGTCTGGTCGTCTTCTCCGCCGATGGACGGTGCAGCCTCATCGGGCGACACCTCAAAGCCTGTGTCTTTTTCATCTCAAGGACAAAAACAAATCCTTTCCTATTAGAGCACTTAAAATGCATTTCACACCTTCAGACACAGTGATTCGAGTTGTTTGAGTGCAGTGCTAGCTACCTCCTCCACAGGCCTGGATGAAGAAGAGTTTAGGTTTGCCTTGTAGAGAAGGACAATGCTGGCCATTGAGGTAATTTGTAATGAGCTGGACTGGGATGTGCTGTCCGTCCACGCCGTAAACAGCACCGGGGAAGCGGTTGTGACTCACCTACAAGACCAAATATGAGCATACATTGTTTCAGATGTCATCTGCATCAAAGCTTGAGTAGATCAGAGAAAAGCATCTGGTAGGATTTCAGTAAGTATCAATGGATGCAATATTAAACCACACATAAGTCCAGAGGCTGGGGCTCTATTAATGTGAAGGTGAGGTCACGACTTTTATTGCAGAGGGCACATCTTACCTCAGTGCCGTGGGACAGCATGATCACCACACAGCAGTCATACTGAGAGTGGTCCTTCTTACACAAAGCCGACAGCGCGTGTTTGATTTGCTGAAACGTACAGACAACCGTTAGCGTTGCAGCATGACGTACAGCATCAGACACGGCAGCAGAACAAATGATCCTTACTCTCTGCTTCAGGTTGGTCTTGACCTCCACGGTGAAGTTGAGCGCCTTGAACCTGCTCTCCAGCTTGTCACAGTCTATGTTGGACCCTTTGCGATTGCTCAGCTCGGTCTGAGGCTCAAACTCCATGTTGTTTATAATGAGGCAAAGACCACATGGGCTGGCATCCATTTTATAGCTCTGATACACACACACACACACACACACACACACACACACACACACACACACACACACACAGACACACACACACACACACAGTAAAAGGAAGCAGAAAAAGTGGAATGGGGATGAGATTGAGCTTTGACACTCTGGCTAAAAGCAACGCTGGCTGTAACGTGGCCGACAAATTCTCGGTGCTTACTTGGATACTATCCCGCCTGGGTCTGCCTTGTGGCCTTGGTCTTGGGCTATCCTTCTCAGGTGCTGTGGCATAAGCATCAATAAATGTTAGGCATAAAACAACTTAACTAATTAATATTTAAATGCATTGCAAAGCTCACATGGACTGGGAGTGGTACTGGGCTGCTGTACTGGACAGACAGGGACAGTCTCTCTGCTCAGCTTGTCAGCGTCCATTGGAGAAGCTGTTCAAGACACAAAGAGAGAATACACACACAATAAATTACACCAAAGTGCTCATAGTATCAGACATGGAATGTAAAGAATCACATCTACTCAAGTACTGTACTTAACTACAAATGTGAGGTACTTTACTCGAGTCATGTTCATGTCACTATCTATTTCTACTTCACCACATCTCAGAGGGAAATCTTCTACTTTTGTAGCTCTACTCACTTCACACATTAAGCTTTTTCACACAGAAAATATACAAAGGGGAAAAGGTGGTGTATTGTTATATATCAAACTACCCAACAGCAAGTACAGATGAAACAATTAGCCAGTTAATCAACTGGTCAGTTGACAGAATATCAGTAAGTAAATGAAAAAAAGTAGTTGCAGTGAGCTTAATCTACGACAACAGTAAAAGTCTCCATCCATCATCTCTACACCTTCATCCTCACTGGGGTCATGGGGGCGGAGCCTATCCCAGCTGACTCAGGGTGAAGGGAGGTTCACCTGGACAGGTAACCAGTCTATCACAGGGCTACAATTAGAGACAGACAACCAAGCACACTCACATTCACACCTACGGACAATTTACAATCACCAATTAACCTCAGCATGTTTCTGGACTGTGGGAGGAAGCCGGAGAACCCGGAGAGAACCCACGCTGCACGGGGAGAACATGGAGACTCCACGCAGGAAGATCCCGTGTGTCCTCACCGGGACGAGAACCGGTGATCTTCTCGAGGCGACGGTGCTAACCACTGAACCACCTGCAGCCCCAGTAAAAGTCTGCTTTTACATAATGCATAATCACTTATTGATACAAGATCTAGTAGTTTAACAGCCACAGTGGACTTTGTTGTGCATTGAGTACTTTTATTTTAAATACTTTAAAAAAACAAAAAAATACTGACATACATTTACTGGAGCAGTACTTCCAGTGCAGGTCCTTTCTTTGTAACTGAGTACTTTTACTGTGCATCATTCATACTTTTACCCTCTTATGGCCTTTAAATTTACAAATTTAAACCTCGAGAAAACTTCATAATTAAAATTGATTCCCAAGTTTACGTGTAAACAGCCCTTTAAATAAAACTGGTTAAAAAAAATAAAAAAGTAAATGACTTATTTAGAGATTTCAACATTAAACTGACCCCAAAGATAACAGGAGGGTTAAACAAAGGATGTAAATACCTCCTTCATCCCTGCATATTACAGGACCTATAACAGGACGGACTGGCCTGTGTGTAGGACACTGGTGACATTCATCAGATCCACATAAACACTCACAGAGCGGCAGCGGCCGGACAGCAGGGCGGGCAGCCGGACTGGGCTGGAGCTGAGCTGCTGGAGCTCCATTCTGTAGGATCTCAGCCAAACTCTGCTGACCAGTCTCATGAAGGCACTGCAGGAATAATGGGAAGGCCCGACTCCCGCGGGTTTCCAGGTCCCGGACTAACTGTCTGGCCTGGTCTCGTCTGGTCCCGGAGTTCTGACAGGAGGCACAGTCACAGGTGAGTATGTTTTCTTTGATCCTCCCAACTTTAAATAAATCTCGGTGTGGTGGCTTACCTTTATCTCATCGATCATGTCTTGGGTGAAAACTCTCTTTTCAAGGAGGCCGTCATAGAGTTTGGACGGATCCAAGCCTCCCATCAGAACGCTCCTGTTGCTCTGAAGGATCCTTTTGTGTCGTTCCTCCATCCTCCATTCAGAGAAAAGGAACCGGAAATATCACGAAAGGGTCTGAATAACAAAGTCTGTTGACAACAGGGTCCTAAAATCTGCTCCTTCCTCTCTGTAAAGGTGAAGCGAAACCTTGTTCCGTCATTAGGTGTGTTGTTGTCAGGTTGCACCAGGCATTTCCGTATTTACATCAGCGCCGCCTCTGATTGGTCCGGCCAGAGAAAAACAGGGTGCGTTCGATTTAGTGCACTGCGCGTCGCTGTCACGCGGCTCGCGGGCGACGAGCACGCTCACCGTAAGAAGCCGCGGCTGGACAAACACGAAACCAAACGCACGAAAAAGAAAACGAAAAACGAAGCTGTCACATAATACTCAATCTCCCGAAATGACTTTCAGCACGGGGCGCCTCCCCCTTTACTCCTGCTCCGCGGCAGCAGGTTGTCAGCCTGCCCCGGAGGAGCTGTGGGATGCTGCTGCTGAACACACCCTTCACATTTTGCTGTCGTTTCCACATCAGCTTAAGCGGCGACGAGGAGCCGGAGAAGAGTAACGCTTCCCCCAAATATGTGGCGTAGTAGCGGCTGAGCGTCTTGCTTCAGGTGACTGTGAGCGTGGAGCTGTGGCGGTGAGACAGCTGTGGCCACCGCAGCAGCGCCACCAGCCCAGCAGAGATAACACCGCGTTTATCATCATCACCGTTAATGCCACGGTCCCGGTCTGCTGCTCTGTGGTACCTAGCTTCTGCAGTTAGCATGCTGTGATGCCATTTCCAGCATATGTAGCATCCCTAGCTCACCACCGCCTCCCATCACTGCAGGGCTAGCACCGCCACGGAGGGAGAAGCTGCCACAAATCCAGCTTTACAGACGTCTGGAGGCCCTCACTGTGCCTTCATGCGTGTTGTCATGTGTTGAAGGTAGCTGTGATGGCAGGGTCAAAGATGTCTCTGCCGCTGGCTGCAGTGGTGCTCCTCTATGTGCTGCTGGCAGGACCGACCCATGCCGGGCCTGAGATGGACCCATACAAGATCCTGGGAGTGACCAGGAGTGCGAGCCAGGCAGAGATCAAGAAGGTCTACAAGCGTCTCGCGAAAGAGTGGTGAGTATATTCACATGACACCAGCTTGATGTGATAAGCCTGATTTCTAACTAATGAGGATCTTCCTTCTGAAGGCATCCCGACAAAAACAAAAATCCAGGCGCTGAAGACATGTTCATCAAGATCACTAAATCTTATGAGGTGAGTCATTTTTATATACATTGCAGAGGATGTATGTGATTTAAAACATGTGGTATCATGTGGAACAGGTGGATGGAAGCGTGTCGTACAGCAGTCAGTGTAAATGAGTGCACACTTGAATCACCTCCCAGTAACTGTATTATTTCTAGGTTGGTAAGCAGAGTGTTTCCTCTAACGAACAATCACAAACAAACACTTTAGAAAGACTGCGCTGAAAATACAGGCCACAGATTAGAAAGTCAGTGCAGCAAGAGTGAGTAGACCTGGAGTCACTGGTACAAACCTATGATCACTGACAGCACACTGAGCTGACCTGTGATTTCCATTTAGTCTACTGGCATGGACGTGGTTTTCAAATGAGCTGTTTTGGATTATGGGCTGCGTCAGTCTGCATGTCTGCATCATAGCTTTACATGGACAGGAAATGTTAGAGAATTAAAAATGAGACTATATGTGGTTTCACAGAGATGAAAAAACAATACAGGCACATCTGTGACCAAGCAAAAGTTATTCTAAAGTCGAAGCAGTAATCAGGAGGTATAGAACAAGTCATAGTACCGCTAATCAGAGCTACAGTGGTGGTCCACCTAAAATAATGCCACTACCTGCACAGTCTACCTCTGTAGGACAGGTGGGCAGGTGCTACAGAACTGTCACATCCAAGTCTTCTGAATGGAAATCAGTGGTTCTGTAACAGCTCAGACAGTGTGAAGGACCGTACACAACGTCAGCCTCTATGGTTAGTGTCAAGAAAAAAGAAGAAGTCTGATGAATGTTACATGTTCTGGGGTGAGATGAGAGCCTCGTTAGGACATCCACAGTGAATGTATAGTCCTGGGAGGTTAGCAGCTAATGATATGGGGCTGCATGACTGCAAAAGGTGTTGAATAGATGACATTTGATCAGTGGCTGTGGATATACCAGAAAACAAGACTGAAGAGGAATATTCCAGCATGATAATCATACAAAACACACAAGAGTCTCCAAAGTTAAAAGTCAGACTATGACCTGGCCAAGTCTGTTGCATGACTTTAATCCAATAAAACATCTTGAGGACATTTTAAAGAGAAACAAAGAGCATCACAACCCCTTCAGCAAAGAGCAGCTGAAAAAAAAAGGCAGAATATCTCTCCAGAAGGTTGTCTGTCTCTAAGTGTAGCCCTGTGATAGACTGGTTACCTGTCCAGGTGAACCTGCCTTCACCCTGAGTCAGCTGGGATAGACTCCGCCCCCCATGACCCTAGTGAGGATTAAGGTGTAGAGATGATGGATGGATGGATGGATGGTGTCCTCCATGCTGAGGATTGAGTCTCTCATCAGAAATAAGGTTGACATACAATGTATTAAAAAAAATAAAAGCTTTTAGGTAATGAAAGTTGTTCTGACTGTTGTTGAGTTTCTACTGTGGATCCTGCATTTTAAATATAGTAAATCTAAACTGTCAGTTTTTAATTTCACACAGGAGCAAATACTCTACTGTTCATCGTAGAAGTAATGCAGTACTGTGACATTTAAGTGATTTTCCACTAACATCTGTAGTATGCTGTAGGTCTCACATTCTGATATTTGTTCTACCCCAAATCTAAATCTAGATCCTGTCCAGTGAGGACAAACGTGCCAACTTCGACCGTTACGGACAGACTGACGATACACAGCCGTATGGCAATAACCGCTACGGCCATCGCCATGACAGCTTTTACTTCGACGAGTCCTTCTTCAACTTTCCCTTCAACAGCAAGAATCACAGAGACTTTGCCGACAGCAAGTACACGCTGCACTTTAACCAGTATGTCAACGACGTGGTGCCAGAGAGCTACAAGCGGCCGTACCTGATAAAGATCACCTCTGACTGGTGCTTCAGCTGCATCCACATCGAGCCTGTGTGGAAGGAGGTGGTGCAGGAGATGGAGAGTCTAGGTCTGGAACCACCCTATGAATTACACAAAGTCTACCAACAGTGCTGCCCTCTCTGAAATCGAACAGGGTGAGTTCTGAAGGCTGATGTGTGTTTTTGGACATCCTGTCTGTGCAGGTGTTGGGATCGGCGTGGTGGATGTTGGCTATGAGCGACGCTTAGCTAATCACCTCGGCGCTCACCGCACCCCGTCAATTCTTGGAGTCATCAATGGAAAAGTGACGTTTTTCCATTATGCTGTTGCGAAGGAGCACCTGAGACAGTTTGTAGAAGACCTTCTTCCTCAGAGACTGGTGGAGCGGGTAAATATCTGCATGTGATGTGATAAACGTGGCATTAGGCATGTTATGTAATGTGTGAAAACAGATTTATAATGAATCCAAAGGTCGTCGGTTTAAATGAATCAAACCTTTTATATTTTCCACATCTCAGGTGACTGACAAGAATGACCTGCAGTTCTTGAACAGTTGGCACGAGCTCAACAAGCCGCATGTTCTCCTGTTTGACCAAGTGCCTGCAGTTCCTCTGCTGTACAAAGTAGGTTTGCCATGTTTCATGTGAAATGGACCTCAGGTGCCACTAAAGCTGATTCATCACTAATGCAAACAGGTCAACCTTTTATCCTTCTATCTACATAGCTGACAGCTTTTGCTTATAAGGACTACTTGCAGTTTGGCTATGTGGACCAGGGCCTTTCAGAGACTGCCAATCTGCAGAAACAGTTTAATATTAACACGTATGCTCCAACCATGCTGGTCTTCAAAGAGAACATTGACAAGCCGGCAGACATTATACAGGTAAGTCTGAGCTATATGTCTTCTGTGCAAGTAAAGTCATTCCATTTTCACCATTTTTACAGTGACCTTGTTGCACAAATGTTCACTGGAACGTCTCCTCACACTTTGTTCTCTACAGGCTAAAGGAATGAAGAAGCAAATTATTGATGAGTTCATGGCGAACAATAAATTTCTGCTCGCGCCGCGGCTGGTCAATCAGAAGCTCTTTGACGAGCTGTGTCCTGTCAAACAGTTTCACAGACGTAGGAAGTAAGAGAGCCTGAACTTCTACCACCTGTTCACACCTGATAAACCCCACTGAGCTGATTCTTTTCTTGTAATCTCATATAAAGAGGCTATGTCGTGTTTATTGTCTAATTTCCTCCAATGTTTTTCCTTCTCTCAGATATTGTGTCCTGCTGATCACAGGGGATGAAGAGACCTTCTCGTTTGGGAACCAGGCGTTTCTTTCATTTGCGTCCACCAACGCTAAGGAGGTTGTGAGGTTTGCCTATGTGTATCAACGACTGCAGCAGCCACTTTGTGATATCCTCATGCAGAACAAGGACAGTGCACAATCACCACCTCAGGTACATAAGTCCAGTAATGCAGCACAGGGACTGTAGTGTATGGTGTATGGAGTTCACTTTCTTTTTTTACCCCCACTGGCACTGCAAAGGTTTAGTTGTGACCAGTAAAGGATGAAATGTTCTGGTTGTTGGTGCAGCACCAGCATCTCTGATCAATGCAAATGGGCACTTCACCCACATCTTCCCCCTCCCTTCACTTTCATTTGCGTATCGGGAGCCAACAACAAATAATCCAGCCACAAACATTGTCCTACACCGGCTCTGTGAAACACGTTGACTGGCCACCGTGAGTTGTTGTCAACTCGAGTGATGCTGTTTTCAGTCCGCCCGTCTCCTCTGCTGCGCTGACGTCTGTTCTGCTCTGGTTCATCGTACGGTGGAACCAGACCAACACACACAATGTGGATGGACTTGGTCTGGAGAAGACCTCTGTGGGGAAACAGACACACAAAGACCACAGTGGGGCAGACATGAGCAGAGACAGAGGGCTTAAAAACAGCAACATAAAGGACGTATCCACGACAGAATCCACAGGTCTTTCTTTGGGTTTCAGTACACTAGCTGAACGCTGGATGGCGCTGTGACTTTTTTATGCCATCTGGGAGGTCACTTTGTGGATAAGCTCAAGGAGGGCCAGCAGCTTCAAAGAAAGGGATTTACACTAACATGCATGTGCAGCTGAACTAACTGCCAAGTCGTAACTCACTGGTTTCATTCTCTGTTAAGGACACTCCCCAGATCGCTGTTTGCTGCTGTTTGATTGCTGTGTTTAAAAATCTTACACCTTTAGGTTTTTGTCCGTTTTGCTTGTCGTGTGTTGTCTTTGCCAGCCGTTGCTCAGACGTGTCCGTGTGTGTTTGAAGGTTGTGATCCTTGAGCGGCGTAACGCTGCCGGGAAAGCGTTGTTCAAGCCCGTTACCGCCTGGAACGGCAGCGAGGAAGACAAGCAGCGTCTCCTGGAGGAGCTGGAGCGTCTTCAGAAGGACCCGTCCATCCTCGTCCACGACGCCATGCTGCCCGAACTCAACAACGAGTTTGCGTCTGTGAGTTTGAAAACGAGCTGTGCAGCTGTTATTCTAATGACCCAGTTTCTTAACCAGTCCTGGCACTAAGCATTGTTAACGCCCCCCTTCTGTAGATGTTTGTAATCCGATGGATCTATGCATCTTATGATTACCTCTCTGAAGTCATTGATGATATTCTACATAACAACTGGTAGGTAGAACTTAAGTTTGATTGTAGATCTAATGGTTTTAAATTGCACTACTTGATTAGCGAGCAGACTTTCTTCCAGCTGTTCGAGCAGGAAACCCCGCTGAGATGTTAATTTTCTCACTTGCAGGCGTGAGATGATGCCTCTTCTGTCCCTCATCTTCTCTGCTCTGTTCATCCTGTTTGGAACTGTGGTGATCCAGGCGTTTAGGTCGGTTCATACGCATTTCCTGAAGTGACAACATGACGCAATACAAAGAAAAGAAAAGAAAAGAAAAGCCAAATAAAACTATTTCTCCCCTCTGCATATGCATGTATTTGTGTTTTCAGCGATTCAAGTGAAGACAAACAGACAAAACCAAAAGCAAAAGATGGAACGAAAGCAGAAAATGGCTCGTCGGGTTCTGGCGGTACTTCAAGGTAAGAGAGCGTTTTTGTTTTGAACACTTTCTTAGAAGTTTTACCGTCGTGTTTTTACGCTCTGTGATTTTACTGTTGGTTCCAGTCGGCCTCCCAAGAAGAACTTTGTGGAGGTGACGGAGCTGACAGACATCACCTACATGAGCAACCTGGTGAAGCTGAGGCCTGGACACATGAACATAGTGCTGGTCCTCACCGACGCCTCCAAGAACATCCTCCTCAGCAAGTTTGCCAAAGAGGTCTATTCCTTTACAGGGTAAGCTAAACACCCTCAGTGGGATAAGTCTGTGGTGTGAGTCATAGATGCTTCATCCCATTTATTCTTTGTCATCACTCTCCTAGGAGCCTGACGCTGCATTTCTCCTTCCTGAATATTGACAAGCACAGCGAGTGGATGAGCACTCTGCTGGAGTACGCCCAGGACACCATGCAGATTGATGCCGATGAGGACGACGGGGGAAACCGCAAGATAGACTACACCGGCTATGTGCTGGCACTCAACGGCCACAAGAAGTACCTGTGTCTGTTTAAGCCCGTCTACACCGGGGAAGACGTTGACAGCAAGTCGTCTGAGGATGAAGGGGGCACCTCAGGAGGCAGGTCCAGGTCCAGCTCCCGCGACGACCACCCACCACGCAAATCCAATCGATCCCGCAGCATATCCACCCTGCAGATCCACCACAAACTTGACCGCCTGGGGTTGTGGATGGAAAGGCTGATGGAGGGCACGTTGCCTCGTTACTACATCCCAGCCTGGCCAGGACTGGACAAGATCACCCCGGTTAAATAGGAACAGGGGGAAGGACTTAGTGTTTATCTACTGTCACATTACAATGGCTTCATCCATCATGGACATTAAGTTATAGCTGCCTTTTTTTGCACTTATTTCATCGGCACAGATGTGGTTTTAGTTGGGTCAGTTTTCCAAACGTGGCTGTAACCCAGCGACTGTGGGGCAGGTCCTTTAGCTTACCTCTTACGTTCATGGCATGCTGTTTCAAACTGCTGTTACTCATTTTTTTATTTATGCTGCTGAAGAGCCTTGTGAAGAGAAGAAAAATCACTGTGGCCGCCTGTACTCTCCTGCTTTTATGGCCATCAGTCAGACAGGAAGTAAACCTTTTTTAGTTTATGATCTGTACTTTGTAAGACGTGCTGCCAAACCGCATTGGAACCCCAAAACATGAGATCCAAAAAGCCACCCTTGGACAGCAGAATGAAACGACACGAGGAGATTTTCGATTAGATGGGTTTGGAAACAGTGGTGCACGTTTTCAGACTCTCTTTCTGGGGAAGACGTTTGTCGTGTCGCCCTCAGCTGTGCGTATGATAGCGGTGAAACAAACTGCATAAAGAGAGCCAGAGAGAGTGTTTGGCCTCTTTACAGCTGGCCCGTTTTGATGAGAAACGGTTGTGAATGCTGGATTGTCAGTTTCAGAAAGCTGCAGAAACGGTCGACGGGGGGTTTCCGAAGCAACTCAAGGATCCAACAAGCAGCTTGGACGGATTCTAAAGCCTTCATTGATGAATACTGTGAATAGAGATGCATGGAAGTAACATTAAATGTCTTTGCCTTTTTTTGTGCATCTCAACTCAGTTTATTGTTATAAACTGTCTCCTAAATGCCGACTCTATTGTGCGATATGGCATCCTGTTGTTATGACGATGGCTTCCACCCTGGACCTGGAGGCCTGTGAGTTGCGATTGAGAAATGCTGAGGCGGCATCTACTAAAGGTTAAAACTGTACCCGATGCTCATTCTGCTCCTGCCACCTCCGACGTGCAGCGGTACACTGCTCCCAGGGTTCACGCCACATTTGAAACGCTCACTGGAAGTCTTGTTATCTAAGTCGAGCACAATCTGCATCACGTGCTGAACCTCCTTCACTGTGTCAGAACGGCTTCAGCTTGACGTTCATCTGAGCGAGAAGAAAGAAGTCCCTCTGGGTCTCCTGCCACAGTGAAGGTAGCTTGTGATGAATACTCTTCTTTAGGACATTTCTGCAGAACTCTGACGTTGAACACTGTTGGCTCCCACACTGAGGGCTGCTTGTTGGTCTCAGGGTCACAGACTCAACCCTCATCACTTGACATAACGGTCGGGTCGGTTTCACACAGAGTTTGAAGTTTCCTCTCTCAGGACTTCCAGAGAACGTTGTAAATGAGGCAGAGCGTTTGGAGCAGTGTTTAAATCAGGTGTAGCTACGGGTGCAGTCTGGAAGCCTGTGGATCACAACTCATCGTCCGTGTTCTCCTGTCGTTGCATTGAAAGAACAATATTTAGTTAGTTAAATGGAATCTGTTGGGGTTGTGTTTTAAAACGTACTTCACCATAAACAGGAGTTCTTTCGTAGCTCGGGTCTGTTCAGAAACCTTGGTTAGCCAGTAGCTCTGTGTAGCACACATCATAAACAGGTCGTCCCATCTCATCTCCTGAATGTTTTCCAACCGACCGGTTTGTCGTCTTGACTTTTGTTGCCACCCGACAGTGGAGCTCTGTGTATGCTTGCTTGGTTAATTAATTAGTTTTATTTATCTTGAGCATAATAATGCCACTGGTATAATTTAATTGGTACTAAGTGATGTAAATATTGCACATAATCATGTTATCTATAGGACCTGTAATTTGAAGAGTATGTCTTTAGAAAGATAAGGTAATTGTTATACATTATCGAAAAACTACTTTTTGTTTTTTCCTTTTTTTTTTTTTTTTCATTGGTGTAAAAATGCCGTCTGCTTCTGTATGATGTTTGAGTTGGTCTCCAGTAGTGCCGTTATCTTCTTGTTGGTTGTAATAAAACACTTTATGTTTATTAATTACACACAACTGTAATCGTTGTACAGCTTCCCATCCCTACCAGCTTGTTTAGTGAGGCAGTCTATGGCACCTTTGGTAGTTTAAGGTGTTTGACCATCACTAATAAGCTGATCATGAGACCAAACTGCTCTGATTTGTTCTCAGGCCTGCAGCATAAAGCTGCTCAAAGGTTTTTCTTCTGCATAGAAAAGATAGAAAACACACAAAATATAAAAGTAAAGCACAGCTGTGTTGGTTGCTTTCACAGTTTTCTGCCATTTTGTTGTTCATCAGCTCCTCCTCCTGCCTTTTATTAAATATCACAAACGTGTTTCTCTTTGACACTTGGATCACAGATCGGGTTTAACCGGGTGAAGAAGCCCCAACAGGGTTGTAGGTGGGTTACATTATTGTGTAACAGCCACCTTCAGGTATCGAGCTGCTGACTCTCATCATGTCGCTGTTTTTTCCTTTACACATGTAGAGTGACATCTGTGAGAGCAGATTTCAGCAGCGCTGAAGCATCTGAAATCTGGGTTATGCTGTCAGAGCAGGTGGACGTGGATGGCATCACAAATATTCCTGTAATGTGTTTATAAAACATTACATGTACGCCGTGGTTTTCTTCCTCCAACCCTCAACCTGCAGAGAGAGGGCAACTGTCAGCAGCGTTGTTGGTTGACTGACCGGACAACATCTTATACGCAGGCTTTCTGTTAGAACAAGTGGCCTGATAAAGGCAGCCATGACCAGCACCATGGGGCAGAAACATGTGCTTCACATGATAGAAAAGAAAACACCTTACAAGTACAAAAACAATCATTCTACAAAGACATGTGGCTGATGCTCCTTTGAAGAGTACATGACAAAAGTTGAGGGCTTAGTCTGTTATAAAAACTGTGACAAACTGGCCCAGAGAAAGTGACAAGGAGGGAGTCAGTACAAGACATCAACTGAAAACAGAAGCAAACACGGAGCGTGAATGGAGCAATATCAGCACTGCAAGCAGCATGTGTGTGCTGTGGAGGCACTGAAGGTGCAAACACAAGAGAAGGTAGATTCCAGGTGGACAGAAGAGACAGAGGAAGTGATGACATACGTCGGCTTTTATAGCCTTCAGGCCCAGACCCTGAGTGTGATCGCTTGAGGAGCAGATCATTGATTCTTCAGACCCTTTAAATGCAAATGATAACCAGATAGCCTGAAATGTTGTAGCTAGCTGGAGGACACACATTCAGGTTTAAATCAGGCTTAATCTGCAGTTTAACTGGATGTTCCCCCCTCATGTTAAACTACTGCTGCCTCTGACCAACACTGACTGTGAACGGTGCACTCCTGCCCTCTTGTGGCCCATGATGGTACTTTCAGAGGTAATTTCATTATTCTGACATCTGAGCTGTAGGAAATGTTCTCCGTCATGAAGCCATTATGTCTATGCACTCTGCTTCCACTTTATTGATCACCTGCACTGTGGGTCAGTGCAGCCTGGTATTACTGCTCTCTTTCTACAGCGCCACAAAGCATCTGTTAGCACAGCTAGATAAACTATAAAGTTCCATTTATTCCTGAACAACTCTAGAAATCTTAAAGATTTTTATTTAAATGTTTTCCAAGCATCACATTAAGGCTAGAGCGAAAGTTTCCAGGGGAGCCGTAACACCTGAAACACAGGATCAGCTGCATCCAAAGCAGGATCAGACAGAACCAGTGAGCCCAAACACACCTCACAGCTGAAAGACCAGTGGACGCAGTCACATGACCTCGACCGCACTAAACATTATCTACTGAGAAAGCCACAGCCATCTGACACGACAAGACGCTCTTTGGACCGTTGTGAGATCGTGCTGAGATAACAAACGGGTGAAGTCCATGCAGCTGAAGGAGGCAAACTAATACTGAGATGTTCTGAAATGCATGTTCACAGATTCTGTTTCTTTTAGCATAAAACGTGCACACAGAAGTTTAGTGCTGTCAGTGTTTTGAACCTCACTGTTAAATATGTACGAGCACAGTGACGTTTCCAACGGCAGCAATAAACAAAGCATCCGGTATAAACTGTGCAGTGACACAAACTACCTCAACAAAACAGCTGCTGGTCATGTGGCTTCACTTACACAAGTCTGACTACGTTATTGTTGTTTTTTGTCTAATCAGTCTTTCTTTATGTCTCATTTTGACATGTTTTTGAACAACTGTTGATTTGCTGAATAAGAAATCTCTTGTTATACTTTATGTGCAGACTATCAGAGTTTGTTTTATCATGATTAATGATGATGAGAGTTAACTCTGTGTGTATTTTTATGGGACAGTGGTGACAGTTCAATGAGGACCTGTCATGAGAGCTGCCCATGTTCCCACCAGATTCCTGCAAACCTGTTGGTCACTGACGAGTCATGGGGGGATATCCAAATAATGACAGAGTCAAACTGTTAAGGAACGATCATCTATGCTACTCATAGTCACACAGAGCGTCTTGACACGGTTGCACTTGCAAGTACAAGCACCTGCAAGTACAATCACTTCCACATGAGGCTGCAGGCAGAAAATGTCTTTCAAATGACTCCAGGACACACAAGACTGGTTGCTTACATTTTCAGTTTTAGCAACATATATTCAACCCTATTCAGGACTTTCATGTTGTCGTACGTAGAAGGACTATCGCTGGACCCCAAAAAGAATATGTGCAAAATATTTATTGTTCTTCATTATAGACTTTTATACTAAGTTGATGTATTTTTGGTTTCAAATGCATGGCAAATGTCTCTCTTTTTATTTTGAAAAACAAACAAACAAACAAACAAACAAACAAACAAACAAACAAACAATACCTGTCACCTAAATCAAATGGTCTGGGGTCCAAAAGAGCCCAAAAGTCCTGAATAGGGTTAACTCATTATAGCTCTTATGTGTTCAGGTTTTTTTTTTTTGGTAAAGTAGTATTGGGTAACAGGAGATATTTTTCCTCTAAAAATGAGTTATATAAAATCTAAAAACGTGCTCTTCCTGCTTTTTGAAACATGAGGTATAAATTATTCACCCAGACTGTTTTCATTCCACATAGATGATGTGATGATAGTTGATAATCTGGTGTAGACACTAGAATGGTTTCCTGGGTCATGTTTAAACCGAACAGAACATGAGCAGTATGTAAGGGTTAACCAAGTGAAGTGTTTGGGTTTTTTGTTTCGGATTCTTGAAGCAGTTTGTTAATTTTCCAGCAGGTGGTGCTTTAAACCTGTATTAGTGCATTGACCTGTGATGAAATCAAAATTTTTTTCCCCAAAGTTGTCCTTCTGTCTTCTTGCTATAACTTACAGAACATTTTGTTTTTTATTTTTATATTTTATTTTTATTTTTATTAAAGCCTACTTTACTTTTTTATTCTCATTAATCATAACAGGGAACTACGTGTATTTCTCTGTGACACTGGGACATGACAGACACATTTCATCAGGATAAAATATTCCACCGTGCATTCGTGACTAAACCGTAAAACCCGGTTAGTCAGCCCGGTAAGCGGACTACCTGTGTGTCCCTCCGCGGCTCTGGGCCGGTTGTGGGGACAGCAGCGGGACAGGTGAGTGTGGATCACCGTAACCATAGTGAGCGAATCAGAAACTCCGTCAAGTTGAACCGCAGAACCAGACTTTAACAGGATGTGGCTTCAAAATAAAAGCAGGTCTTCAATGCCTTTACTGGGGGACTTTGATGGAACTAGTTTTATTTTCTAGTGGACACCGGAAGTGATGACGTTATTTTCGCCGCCGTGACACCTCCTCCGCCACCGACGCCTGTAATGTTGCCGAAAGCAAAGAAAACTTCTGAGTAGCTTCTCAAGTTTTCTTCAGTGGATACTGGACGGAACCCGCCCGCGGCCCGGTGTCGGTGCTCCGCTCCTGTTATGTAAACTTTTAGCCTGTTGGCGGACGGGCGGTACTCTGGTTCGGGCCTGTCCACTTCACGTTGGCCGAGTTGGGAGGTGAAAGTGAAGTGGTGCGATGCATATGCTGGCGTCAAACGGAACCATCATGGACCTGGGCTCCGAGGTGGTGAAAATTAAAGCGCACTACGGCGGGTGAGTAGCTGTCAGCAGGTGTCCGGCCGGTACCGGTGAGCAGGGAAACACCTGAGGAATGGAGGCTGCTGGTGTTACTGGGCAGTGTGGCCTGGTCCGGGACCCAGCAGACCTGGCCTGTCCTCAGGACCAGCACTGGACCAGACCGTGTTAGATGGACCTACAGGAACATCAGTGGCAGTCTGGTGCTGTCATCAGATGAGTTTTAATGGAATTAGATTTAAAATAGAAAAAGAAAAAGAAATAATTTGACAGATATTGTGAGAGGACAAGAGTTCATTTGAACAGATCCCTCCATCCACACAAACCTCCATAAACCCACTTCTCCATCATCTACCTGAGACAACACCAGTCAGACTTTAGTGATCTGTATTTATGTCTCGTCAGATCCACTCAGCTTCAGTTTGACTGATATCATCTCCAGAAAACAACAAAAACAAGTTTTCTGAAAGTCTACAAAAGTTGAGTTTCTGTTTTTGCAAATGAACTCTTCAATTACAGCTCCAGCAATTTAGATCATATTTTAAATTAATTATTCAGACCTACAGTCGTCCTCAGATGTGTTCACAGCCTCCCATTAGAGAAGGAAAATAAAAAACAGCTTCAGTCACTGAAATAAGTTGAAACTGACAAAAGCAATAATAAATAAAAATTTAATGAACATCATCACGTTGCTTTGAATTGTGGTTCAACAGAAATATAAAATAAATAATAACAATAAAAAAACAGCATGATGGGAGCCATGAACTAACATGTAGCTGAACAACCCTCTGAGCCAATCACTGCCATCAGGTGTTTCCTGTAACTCTCAGTCAGACTTGTGCACCTGTTGACAGGTGTTCTGGACCACTGCTCATCAGCAAAGGCCTCTCATTGGTCCAGGACAGTTTGTTTTTTTAAATTCTTCTTTTCACCCACAATTGAAAAGCAACATCTTATTTCACTAAATTATAATTTAGCAAATTTTTATTTATTATTACCTTTTCTGGTTTCTAGTTATTTGAGTGGCTGTTGTGGATTTTGCCTTTTCTTTAATGGAAGGATATGAACACACCTGAGGACGACTGTATGGTGTATAACTGAACATAAAGTCTGACCTGTTCATGTCATTTCTCAGCCACTGAAACCAGTTCCTCCTCTCCAGTATACTGATCCAGTGAGTCTGCCTCGTCTCCTGACAGAACTCGTGGTTATGTCCTCTTTTTTAATTAAGCTAAACTTGGATGAACAAGATAACTCCGCTGTTCTCCAAAGTTTCCCCAGTTCTACTTACTTTTATAATAATCTGGATCTTTCTTTCTTTCATGACTTATGTGATTCTTTTTCTTTCTGTAAACAACAAAACATTTCACAGCAGCAACGACTTTATGAAACTCCACGTGGCCTTAATAGGCTGAAACCATCATGACATCTCATCCTGGCCTTTTTAGTAGCTCCACCTTTGTGTGGCTTCCTTCCTTCAGGGTGTTCCTACCAGTGCCTGACATATTTGTGCTTATGTGACAGTATTTTTTTGAGAATTACTGAGTTTACGTCAAGTATTTTTTACACACTCATAATAATCTGGGTGTCACAGATGTAAGGCGTCCTACACAGCAGCAGCAAAGAGGAGCTGAATGTTCCTGTTTTCTGTTCTCTGTCTCTGGCCTGCAGCTAATCACTAATTAATCCAAAGATTAAACTCATAAAAAGTTGTCACTGTTTATCAGAGTAATAAACTAATAATCCCTTCATGACTTGAAATGATGGGAGATGTGACTCTACTCCATCAGCCCACTGAGAACATGCAGATGTGTGTCCTCCAGCTCTCCCATGACTCTGCTGCTCTGTGCTCCACAACACCAGGCTGTAAAACTGGAGAAATTCACCCAGACAGGTTTTAGCTGGAAACTGATTCATCATGAAACAAAGAGCTGCACCGTCCACCCTGACAGGATTTGGTCCTTATGTTGGTTGCACATGGAACCAGAAGCCTGACTCAGTGTTTTTCAGACTGTTGTCAGTTCACTGCTGCTCCATGGAGGAAATACCACGACCATGGCCACGACAGGGACGACTTCATGTGTCTTATAAAAGGGCTGCAAGGCGGCTCGGTGGTTAGCTCAGCCCCCCATGACCCTAGTGAGGATGAAGGTGTAGAGATGATGGATGGATGTGTCTTATAAAAAACATGACATGTTAACAATGTCTGTGGTCTTTAAATGTCCACGAGTGCCAAAACATCACAGTGTCCTCAAATGTCTCATTTTGTTTGACATCAGGAAAGAACCCAGATTTGTTCTGTTCATAATAAGTACGGACAGTTAATTAAATAAACTGATAAATCATCATAATGACTTTCTAACCATCTCAGTTTTACTTGTCGATTGGGTCGGTACCTTCAACAGCAAATCAAAGCTCGTCTTAGTGACTGTGCCAGCGAGTGCTGGTGGTCTTTGTTCAGGTCTACGCTCCTCTTCAGCCTGACGGTAGCGACTTTAACGGATGTAACTCAACGATGAGACACAGGAATGAAAATCAGAGCATTGCTGTAGAAACAGAAGCAGTCACGGGTTGGGGACAGCTGGCACCGAACAAAGAAGCCGTGTGGGTCGTGTGGAAACGCTCTGGCTTCAGACACTGAACAGGAAAAAACATTCAAATACTGCAAAACAAGATTCACTGTTAAGGGCAACACAACTCATATGTGTCTTAAACACAACTAGAAGTAAATAGTTATAAATATATTAATAAACCTTCCTCCATAGCATGATTTATTTTCATTTTATGTCCCGCACAAATCATATAAAAATGTTTTTAAATGATTTCCTGCTGGGGTGAATTGTTTTGATTGAGCTGATTTTAGGTGATATTGATCAGGCCTGACTTATAGTGACAGGAAGTGAGCAAAGCAACCACATGATCTCTTTTGAGAAGGTGGGACCAGTTATTGTTGAGTGTTATTAGACGTGCTACGGTACCAGTGTAGATCCAGAGATGCCATCTGGGTCAGTTTGTGTGACGGTGAACTGTAACGCTGTCCGTCTTTAGCATCAAATCTTCAGTTCTTTCTTTACGGCCAGTCTTTGGTGTTCATCTCGATGTGTTTATACTCAGTCTGAGGTTTTCTCAGATGTTAGACCCTCGTCTTTAAGAAGCAGAATTTCATTTCCATGCTAACCTTGCTACAATTAGCATGTTTGCTGTGCAGCGTTAGCAATATTCACATGACAACTGGCATTAAGTGGTAACGTTTGGATATCAACATGCTAATGTTATGTTAGCATTAACTTTAGCATATAGGTGACTTGATTTAACTATAGCTGATATTGTGTTTTGTGGCTGGTGCCTCCATTGATTTTGATGAGTCCAAAAGAATTCTAATATTCATACGAATTTATTGGCTGTTGTTTATTTTCAGCATCATGTGAAGCCCCTGAATAAGGTCTGCATAGAACTATATGTACTGAGATGATAGTTATTTTAGAGTGCAAAAGTAAACAATGTTGTGTTTGTGTACTGCAAATATTTGTTGTTGAGATATAAACACAATACAATCCAGATGTATCTGTGATAAGCTAATACAAGCCTGTAATGGTACTTTATCAGCGGGGCTTCGACTTGTGACCTGTACATTGACTAAATGACCGCCTTCGAACCATTTATACGACGCTGCCGTGTCAGTAAGTGCCTGAATGAGCGATGGTGTGGAGGACCTTGGATCCATTCTGGATTACCGGTAACAGGGCCCACAGTGTGCAGAGCCTGGCGTACGCCGGCATCTCAGTATTAAGAGATCAGAAAAGGTTAAACTGTCTGAAATATTGAAGCCGGAGAATAAAAAGCCACTTTGTCTGATGGTTTATTAATCCAGTTAGCATGCTTAAAGGGCCACTCATGGCTCAGAATCAGATTGTGATGAGTTGTGCTTTGCTCTTTTACATTTAGAGGAGAAAAGCCTTCAGATGCCAGAGTGAGAAGTTTCTCTAACAGAGAGACATGGTGGTTTATCCGCTGTTGGACCTGAACTGTGGCTCTTTCCTGTGCAGGATGGATTATTGTTGACATGTTGTTTCTGTATGACAGCCTCTAAAGTTCTTATGCTGAACTTCCTCCTGACTCTAAACTGGGTCTGGCTGCTTCTTAGCTCTCCACTCGGCAATGACCTCAAATGTATTTTTGAAAGTGTGTGTGCAGGTTCTGAGCATGATTTCACCCCATTAAACTCAGCTTAGGCCTGCCAGCTTCTGGACACCACCGCTGGTGAACTGAGTGGTCATCGACACCCAGAAGCTCGCTGAGTGGAGACTGACTCATGGAGTTCACTTTCACTGAAGAGCTGCTTTAATCTTAATGCTGCCGACCTGTCCAGGTGAACCTGCCTTCACCCTGAGTCAGCTGGGATAGACTCCAGCGCCCCCGCAACCCTAGTGAGGATGAAGGTGTAGAGATGATGGATGGATCTTAATGCTGCTGTGATTGGAAGGTGTCAGACCACACATGGAGCTGCTTGACTGCAGACCAGTCAGAGCAACTACACTGACCCCCACGTGAGCATCAGAGCTGAACCATGGAGCAATGGAAGAAGGTGTCCCGGCCTGGTTATGGTTTCCTTCTTCTTCATGTAGACAGCTGTGTGTGTGTGTGTGTGTGTGTGTGTGTGTAACCCTAAACCCTGTGGCCGCTGTGAGCTGCTGTAGGGCGGCTGTGGCTCAGATGGTGGAGCAGGTTGGTGGTTCCATCCCCAGTTCCTCGCCTGCTGTGTGTGCTTGGGCAAGACGCTGAACATGAAGTTCCTCCTGATGGTTGACAGGCGCCTCGCTGGCAGCTTTATCACCACTGGTGTGTGCATGTGTGTGTGACACTTTCCTTTTTGTCTGTATCGACCTTCCAAAGACAACAGAATGAAAACGTCATTGTGAAGCGTTGATGTGTAACATCAGACGTGGAACTCACTGTCAACATAAACCAGGTGTTTAACTCTGTACCTGTGAGTAGGTGAGGGTCTGCTGGGGTCTGTGTGATATAATTTCATCATGTCCTCAAGTCAGCAGAAGTCCTGCACACAGCCTGAAATGTGTGTCCACTCAGTAACTGTGCTTCAAAGGCAGCAGTGGTCTCATGTGTGAAACATAGATATGACCGACTACGGATGTTTGCAGCGTAGTCTCCCACACAGTGGACAAACAGGACGACATCAACGGCTACAAGTCCATGGTTTAGTATCATCAGCACTAGTTGGCTGTTTATTTAATGCATTAAAGAAAAACAGCAGCTTGTTCAGTTTTAACATCGCTTCACTACTTTTTTTAAATACAGTTTAAAATGTTGTTCATGGCTTTAAATGGACTGAATGGTTTGGCTTCCAGCTCCATCGCTGTAGGATGAACCCTGAGGTTAGCAGAGAAGGTCTCAGACAGAGATCACTGAGCTTCTGCTGTTTAACTCCCTCAGTGGACCAAATTACAATCTGCACTGTTACGCCTGTGCTGTCTTTTAAAACTTCTAACGGCCTGTGTGATATTATTATCATTATCATTATCGTTAGATGTGTTTGGTCTCAATAAATGTTTGTTAATTACCTCCACTGAGTCTTAAAGGGAGTCGCAGAGGTTCAAAGTGAAGAACATCAATCTTTTTGACTGAAACTGAAGAAACAGTGCAAGTTACCAAGGAAGCGACAGAAGGCGGCTAAACAAACAGTGCAAAGGTTGGCCAAGGAGCTGCCTTTAATCACAGAGTCTGAGATTTGCCCATATGCCAAATACAATAACACAATGGGTCTTTAATCTGCGCTCCACTGATAAAGGTATTGATGTAGTTCTATATTTGCTGTATGACCACAGCTTAGTTCTAATGTGATGCAGCTGCAGGTAATTCGACGTGTTTGTCATCAAACGTCCGTCTGCAGCAGAAGACAAAGGTCGTCTTGTCTTTTTCTTTTTTTTAGACGACGGATGCGTTTGAGATATTGCAGGAAGTCACAGTGAGGCGTTAGATGAACCGCTGCAGGTGACAGACGGCACACCTCCAACTCCTCAGCAAGGTCGCCAACTTCTGTCGCCGTGCCCTGCTGCTCACAGGCCGTATAGAATCAGGTCACGCTTACTCAGAAAAGTTGAAAAGGACTTCGTTAAAGAAATCTCTGGGCTAAAGTACAACTAAGATGCTAACAATGCTCATGAAGTCCTCCTGAGCTGAGCTGTGTGTGAGTTCAACATGGCAGATACAGTTTAGTGAGTTCATATCTGAAACTGTTCTCCACATAAGTTTTGCACCTCAGTCCAGCTTTAGAGCTCCGCATTGATCAAACGTCAAGAAGCCGAATAAGTAGGACTGCTATCTGATAAAGGTAAATATTATCAGCCACGCTCACAGACGTCATATTTATCACACCAGAGTTCACTCAACCACATCTAATTGGATGACAAAGCAGTGACTAATGCAGCATGATGAGATAACACCAGCTCACCGATATGTAGACGTGAACCTGTGTGTGTGTGTGTTTGGTGTGTCTACTGCGTGACATCACTCCACCCTGACTTGTGTGGGTGTTGACCGTGTGGAGCAATGCCTGCTGGGAAGCAAGCTGTCTCTGCTCCACCTTGTCAGAGTCCAACAAACACTTGCCATAAACACTCGACCACACACGCCCAGAAACCTGTCAGACGCACTCACGAGGGACCGCTCACTGCAGCTCCTACACATTCACAAGCAGGGTTTACACACACACACACACACACACACACACACACACACACACACACAC